GGTTTTAAACGGTTACAGCGCTAGCAGTCAACGACCTAGCGCAAACGTACGTTGACGGACGTAGCAACATATCAAATTTACTGTTGATAGAGAGAAAGAAGCAGTACACTTCACTCGTAACCGTCGCACGTACACGATGGTGATGGCGCTGTCATAAGTTTGATCGTGTCAACTGACACGTAACTTACGTTTACGTCAGTGAGTGTGGTTCTTTAGCGCCACGGAGACAATCAAATAAATACGTCAAGCATTGCGCATGTGCGATTGAGGTTCGCTCGTGTCTTGCCCGCAAACGTTCAAATAAACGCGTCAAACACCATTTTGTATTGTGAATATGGATCGTTCGTTTGTTAGCATGTTGTCATCGGAGAGTAATAATTGTTAATTATTATATCATTTATGGCATAATTTTATGTTATATGATATAAATTAATACTTATTATATTTCACAAAGCTGGTAAGCATTGTAATGCTCAATCAAACGTAGGTCAATTATTTTTTCTTGCCCGCGCACTTGCTCATCGCGCGACTTTTTATTAAAAATTTTCATTATATAACGATGTTGGTGTGTGCTTACACTCTTCGCAAACCATTTTTTACGCGATAAAATCAAAGACTACTTTTGAAAGACGCTTATATTTTTCTTTCCAAGAAAATAACTGTAAACTTCCATAATCGTAATGCCACCCCATACCAATTCCAAATTCTGAAACAAGGTTGCACTGCATTATAAACCATATTCTTAAAGGCACGCGGAAATAGTAGGTAGGTGTAGACGTTGGGTAATTGTATTAATTCGGAATGCTAGAGAGTAGCAATACCGCACATCAGCAGGTTAATTTTCGAAAAAAGCGCCGCAATGTGCAACCTTGTGCCGAAGTTGACGTAATCACTTCAGAGCAAACTAAGTAGCCGCTATTTAATTTACCAAACCGAAGTTGGTCTGCATAACATCGACCTTATAGCATGTTCTGACCGACAACGAAAACACTTTGAAAACGAGTTTTGGGATTGTGTTATAGGGAATTTACATGAGGCGATTTTTAGTTGAAAGCAACAATCGCCTGGTGTAAACAGCCTTTCAACTAATCGCTTACAATGAAGTTGGTCGGCTCCCTACTTTCGTTCAACTTTTGGTTCAACTAATCGCCTGTGAAAGTTGAATCATGTAAATTCCCTATTAGTGTTTTCGTTGACATTTCTTACATCCTCTGATTACAGTTTTGCTACGCAAAAACCAAACCAAAATGCTCATTTTATTTTCATTTGCAACCTCTTACTTTCATTCTTATTTTACTTTGGCCAGCCAATTAACAATAAATCCGAAATGGCGTATTAAAGATGATAAAATAAGACTTCCACTTCGATAAATAATCGAAAAAAACTAGTGAAGACACCGAATGGAATGAGTGGAATGCGAGTTTTCAAGTAGTTTTCAGCGAAAACTGGTTTTCGTTTGACAGATTTTACATGGACGATAACACAAGTTTTAGGTCGAAAACCAGTTTTATCAACGAAAACATGTTTCCGATGTCGGTCAGAACATGACATTGGTCTGAAACTGTATTTAGCTTTTAATTATCAAAAACCTTACACACACAGTTTCGTTCCGCAAAGTCAAATCGTTCCACCAGTAATTGGAACATTACATAGGGGCGTTGTTTTTTATGTTACCAAGTATTGCATTTCAACCAAAAATAGTTTGCAAACAAAGTCGTGAAAGATGTCTGTCGCTGTTGACCTCGTTAAGGTATTATTGTTGTACAATTTGGTTCCATTTGTCAATATACTATATAGGTTGATTTGCTAATTTTTTAATAGGCAAGAATAAATATAAAAGAAAGTTGTGTCTTGAGCTATATTTGGATAAATAGAACAGTTAATTTCCGTGACTCAGAAAATCGATACGCCAAATTGTGTTGCCTTGTAGCCCTTATGTCATTTGTCGGTTTGATTACTTTGTGTAAAGAAAGTCCGTATTTGTATGCTCGGCAGATCGCTAAACTGTATTTTGGTGGAAAAAAAGGAGTAACAAATGAGAATTGTCATTAAAGTCCTGTCTGCGTCTACATGTGCAGATAAATAAATATATGTATTTATGAATCTGTGATTTAGCCTAGAGGCGAGCTTAACTATAATGTGCCATTCGCAGTATCTTTTTTTTTCCGGAATAAGTGAAGGCCTCTCTATTATATTTTATTCAACCCCTGCCAATTAAAATTTAAAGCGAGTTTGATTGAAATTCACTCGAAAATGAATTGCAGAACCGGCCTGATTATATTTAATATTCAGTAGGACAAACCTCCGGACTTTACCAATTATTGCAAACTAATAGATATGTAATATTTAAAGGTGTTTTAATAACAGATATAAAATAGATAAATACTGCGATAGGATTATAATTTTTTCTTTGTATCTCGTTTTTTGGCAATTAGAACGAACCACATTTAAGAACATTAAAATTATCTGGACATGTTGGGTTTGACAGCTTACCGGACCAACTGGTGAACAAAAGCGTACAAAATGGTTTCGTTTTTAATGTCATGTGTATAGGTAAAAGTCCTCGAAAGCCACAGAAAAGCATTTTTAATAAATTCCATATCTTTCAGGTGAGACTGGTCTGGGAAAATCCACACTTATGGATACTCTCTTCAACACTAGCTTTGAGTCTACACCAAGTCCACATACATTGCCGAACGTTAAATTGAAAGCACATACTTATGAGCTTCAAGAGAGTAATGTTCGGCTTAAACTAACAATTTGCGATACAGTAGGTTACGGTGATCAAATTAATAAGGATGACTCATTTAAAGCTGTAGTAGACTACATCGACGCACAATTTGAAGCATATTTGCAGGAAGAACTGAAGATCAAGCGTTCTTTGGTTTCATGCCACGACAGCCGCATTCATGTTTGCTTATATTTCATATGTCCAACAGGTCACGGACTTAAGTCATTAGATCTTGTATGCATGAAGAAACTAGATAGTAAAGTTAATATTATTCCCATCATTGCAAAGGCTGATACCATATCAAAGTCAGAACTAAACCGATTTAAAAGTAAAATCATGCAGGAGCTTTCCAATAATGGAGTTCACATATATCAATTTCCAACCGATGATGAAACTGTTGCTGAAACTAATACAACAATGAATACACACGTTCCATTTGCTGTAGTAGGAAGTACTGATTTTATAAAAGTAGGCAACAAATTAATCCGCGCTCGCCAATATCCTTGGGGGACAGTTCAAGTTGAGAATGAAATGCATTGTGACTTTGTTAAACTTCGTGAAATGCTGATTCGAACTAATATGGAAGACATGAGAGAAAAAACTCATACTCGCCATTATGAACTATATAGGCAGAAACGTCTAGAACAAATGGGATTCAGCGATGTTGATAGTGACAACAAACCAGTAAGTTGAGATTCATAAAATTGGATGTTAAAAAAAAAAAACATTTTTCGCTTTTAGATATCATTCCAACAAACATTCGAAGCAAAAAGATCAAATCATTTAGCCGAGCTACAAGCTAAAGAAGAAGAAGTAAGACAGATGTTTGTGCAGAGGGTTAAGGAAAAAGAAGCTGAACTTAAAGAAAGTGAAAAGGAGGTAATCTATACTAATAATCTTGAAAAAAAGTTATGTTAAAATTTACATATGATTTCAGTTACATGCAAAGTTCGATAAACTAAAGCGTGACCATGCTGAAGAAAAACGAAAGTTGGAAGATTCCCGAAAAAAACTAGAAGAAGATTTTGTAGAATTCAGTCGCCGCAAAACCCAGATATCAGCATCACACCATACCTTGACTTTAGGCAAAAACAAAAAGAAGTAATAAACAATTCTTATTCATTCGACTGTTTCATGCCAAATTTATATGAGATATTTGCATGTAACTAATTAATCACAACAGGAATATATTTTCTTATGAGTGTGTTTAAATTATTTAATTTCATCTGCCTAAATATAATTCAATTATAAAAAATATATATTAATCAAATTCCTTTAAATCAATACGTAAGGAATGAAGCACAAAAGCGCGCTTTATGAGAAAATGAAAATGAGTCATGCTAATTCCTACACATCTGATATGATGATCTATCAACATATTTAGCCTTTTCAAACCATACTAAGTCCGACTAAGTCTAAGGTGACTTTGGTATGGTTTGGAGGTGTCGATATGCAGTGAGCCCAATTAGCGTTACAGCCAGGTCCAAGTTGTTTAGAATAAGAAAAAGGCACTGTTGTTTAACGACAGTTGGGTCTATGCAAAATTACGCAACTGTTTGGGGAATTTGTACGCTGTTGCTACGAGAAGCTCTATGTATATTATGTATGGCGACTGGTGTCTAGTTGCTAGTCTAGTAGCCATGGCTTTCAGTATTGTACTATATATTATGTATAGCGAATAATCTCAGTATACAGAAACATCTTTTTTGGACACGTACAAACATTTCGAAATAATTGGCAACCTTGCTCCATTATGTTTAACCATATATTTAAACAAACAGGGCTTGTACGAGTTGCAATCACAACCACAGTGTTGCGCGGTAAGAGGATATGTGTATTACGTGGATTATGTGTTGCCGGAGAAGTGTGGCACAACTTTTTTATGCCTAGGCGCCTTCGGCCGCACTTAGGGATTATAACCCTTTCTACGCAGAATTCTCCTTCCTGTATTGCCGGAGAAGTGGTAGAGAACAACAGAGAAATAACAAAGTCGAAGAGAAAACACAGTAGCCAGTTGGCATATATATTGGCATTATATATGGTTACACATCGTCTACCAGTCGCCACACATACTAGTGTGATTTTTATCTTAAAAAATGCAAACAATCTGGAACGGAAAATTTTCAGCTATAATTTGTTACTCAGTAGTAATGTAGTAAATTTTCGCAAGTTTCTAGCTAGTGTATCCGAATGCAAAGTGAACCAAATGCCTACGTTCGCCGCCGATGGACTCTTTTTAAAATATTATATATTTAAATGTCGTACTCACCATTACAAGTCAGTTTGCGAGTCTGCCTAAAACCGCGACAAATAATCATAATCGTTCCTTTACAAGACTTGAATGATACCATCTGACGAAAGCATTTAGTTTGGACAAACATAATCATACATACATCCGCGATACTAGTTTTCACTATTTTCGTTTCCAAATAAAAATTTCGTTCTGGTAATCTCAACTAATGTAACATTCGGCGAGTCTCAAAATAACGCGGCTTACACTAAAATCCATTTTAATCATATTTTTGCACTTCTGCTCGTTGTTCACTTCTTTTCTTATTTTTCCAAATTTCAATCTTCTTAAATAAAACGTTCAAAATCCATCTCATTAAACTGTCTGATCATTCTCATTTTTGAATGAGAAATTACTGTTCCTTTTGCTGCGTAACTCAAGTTTTGTGGTGATAACAAATTTTATTTCTTAATTCGGAAAGTAGCTAGACACTATTTATTCGGCAGGAACTTCTACAGAACCACTGTTAATGTCGTCAATAATGTCATGTGGCGGCCTTCCATCAACTGTGCAACCAACGCTTTGCGCTGTCCCCAAAATTTCTTTACAAGTGCCCTCTAGATTACGAGCCATTGACCTTGGTCTCATTGTTTTCGCAATTGAAAGGATGTCATCAAACGTTACATTTCCACTATGTTTAACTATCAAAAAATAAAAATAAGTTAACAAATTGCAATTAAAACTTTGCAAAAAGTCCTACTATTTTTCTGCTTCTTCCTATCACGGGGAGGTTCTTTAAGCGCCTTAATAATCAACGAAGCTGCAGATGGACAGACTGATATAGCAGCTTGACGGTTTTGAATGGTCAGACATACTGTAATTTTAAGTCCCTTCCAGTCTCCAGTGGCCTTAGCAATATCATCTCCAACTTTTTTCGGCGACTACAATAAGAAAGCTTATTGAAATGAATAAAATAAGTAAACAATGAATGTTCTTACCAAACCGAGTGGACCAATTTTAGGAGCCAGGGAAGATGTGGCTCCAACCTCGCCACCGACACATCGCAAATAAACTGAAACGAGCGGTGTTGATATAATTCATCTCAACTAAGATACAAAATTTACCTAATTTAATCTCAGTAGGATCGAATTTTGGAGGCATTGTTGGTTCTGTACACACGAAGCAATCTGAAAATCAAAGGATCTTTTAAATAAAAATAGATAAATATTGGACATGAAAAATGCACATACACCCAACGACAAGGCTTGAGGTAAAAGGACGGGAGCTGGGTTCTTGCAGCAAGGTTGCTGCTTTGAAATCCGCTTCAATCTTACGACCCATCAAGCACAAGTAAAACCTAAATTAAAGATTATACTCTTTGAAATGTGTTTGTTGGTTCACATATATTCATAATTCCTGTGCTCACAAGCCATAACAAATTAGCTCGTTTCAAGAATATTCAGAATCCGCATTTTTCAACATTTCCCCTCGGTTTTTGACAGCGACTAAAAAATATATCTCGACTCAAGCCTTGGCCGCCTCGACTTTATACTGGTAAAACTTTCCTATGTTTGTACAATTAAGGCCGAACTCTTAATTAAGTGTAGAAGGAGAAATTCTGGGGAATTAATTTCAAATTAGTTCAAATATGTCTGTGTTTTTTATCTAGTTGTTTTAAGTATTTTTTAAAGCTTGCTATTTCTTTAGCTAGTTGTTCTCCTTTAAACGGTGGAGAATTGTTTGGCCCAAACTTATTTTATTTTTCAAGGCAGTCATTCAATATTTTGTATATCTTAAATTGGTAATTTGTATGCTCTAAACAGACTGTAAGCTTATGCAATTTTGATGAGTGTTTCTTTTGGCGCTTGACAGATATGATTGACGACTTCGAAAGCATTGTTTGCGCCATTTTTTCATAGTGTATTGACCGGATACGCTATCTTGATTACTCATTCAAGTGTTTCGTGGACAAGAGCAGGGTTGTGCCATTTCTTCTCTTTGCTTAAGGCTATCATTTAAATCACATGTGAGTATCGGATTCTTCTCCGAAATTTGTGATATTTTATGCATAATTTGTTGATAATACGGATCAAAAATATCCGAGCAATTATGCCACAAGAAGAAATTTAGTTAGTGAATTTTCATAGTGATTTTCCTTACTAAGTGGGAAGAAGGAATATGTGATGCTCTTGTTGAACGCTAGGTTTTTCATATACCATGTTACAAGTGCTTGATGTCAATGAACGAAAGATTTATCAGCATAATTTAAAATGCAGCGTCCGAAAAATTTAGCTCTTAATAAAGGAAATGATTTTCTAGATAAGGCGACGCTACATACATATTTACCAGTTCAATAATCTGAAATTTTGGTTAAGTAGCTCCATATATGTATGAATGTACATATGTACGTATTACAAACACAGCGATTCGGCGTGCAGTTTATTAATCAGCAAGTCTTGTTAAAAATATGCAATTCTAAGTTTTAATATCCAGATGTAAACATAAGATACCATATAGACTCGGTCTTTAATTTTCATATTGTATATGGTTTAAACTTTTCTACAAATTTAGTTGAATGGCCAATTCTACACCTTGTTAATATCGATTGATTGATTATTATTCTCAATATATAATTTGCAGATATTTTTTTTGGTACGCGGTAGTCTAATAACTGAGAAAAATGGCCGAAATGGATGATCATCATTTTGAGACCGGCGATTCTGGTGCCTCTCAGACATATCCGATGCAATGCTCAGCTCTACGCAAAAACGGATTTGTTATGTTAAAAGGACGGCCGTGCAAGATAGTTGAGATGTCTACCTCAAAAACTGGAAAACATGGTCATGCTAAAGTTCATATGGTTGGCATTGATATATTTTCAAATAAAAAGTAAGTGAGCACATATGTAGAAAAAATGGTCAAAATTTATGGTAATAATTTTTCAAAAACAGATATGAAGATATCTGCCCCTCGACCCATAACATGGATGTACCACATGTAAAACGAGAGGATTATCAGTTGACTGATATAAGCGATGATGGTTTTCTCACTTTAATGTCAGATAACGGAGAAATTCGTGAGGATTTAAAAGTACCAGAGGGCGACCTTGGAAACTCTCTAAGATCTGACTTTGACAACGGCAAAGATCTTTTGGTAAGTAAAAAGATAGTTTACGGATGTTATAGTTTTAATATTGCATATTTTTTCAGTGCACAGTCCTAAAATCTTGTGGTGAAGAATGTGTTATCGCTCTCAAAACCAACACTGCTTTGGACAAGTAAACATCCCTAATACGTCTGACTTTATCTACCTGCAGATTTCTGTTGAATTTACGTTAAAAGTAAATTAAAACTAATACTATAGTAGTGTATTAACACTATTATGGCTAAGTTCAATCAACTCATTTGACTACATTTACTTCAAAAATATATAGTTTGTGAAGTAATAGAAACAGAAATTTGAAGCGTATAGGATAAAGAGTTGAGTAACAAAAACAGATTTTCGCCAATAAATTTTTTTTTACATTAATTATCTTTTTTCATTTAATATTAATAATTGAGAACTATTTCAGTGGTGTATTATATAAAGTATAAGAAATTAAGACTTGCTCGTCGATCAATAAGTAATTTCACGATAAAAAAGATGTTTTATTTACTTGTTTTCAATTGGAATTCAAGTCGTGAAGATGGATATTTAGTACATGTTTGTGATGTCACCTTCAGGATGCAACTATTTTTTTAATTATCAAGGTAAAAGCCATACATACATATTCATATGTCAGTACTCAAATTGCATGATTGAAACAGGAAAATTAATTTTCGCGAATTATTAAAAAAAAAAAATATTAACCTTGATTATTAGATTATCTGATAAAAATTATTAGCCAGTAGTGTGCGTATTTGTAAGCTGAATAAAAATAATACACAACTGCATAGCTATGCGGGTCTTAACATCCACAGTATCAGGTTAAGCTGCGCAAAGGCCTGGAGAAAAAGCTACGCCTAAGGTTTCTAAAATGAGCGCGTATTAATTTTATTACCACGCGTTTTGTTTAAAGAGATTCATTCGAATTAGGGTACAATTAGCCCAAAATTTATTTCTGACAAGAAACACACTATGACAGCATTTTACTTACGAAGATTTATCCTTGCCATGGGTTTTGCAGGATGTTGTAGCCCCACCTGCGTCGGTTTTTACGTCAATGATCAAGGTCCAACTACCGAGCTGTTTTGATGGGTCGAACAGATGGGAGAGAGGTGTTAGCTCAGTCTAATTGAGGAGGTGGTTGGTGTCATGGGGGAGTCTCCACATGCCGGACATAAGAAATGTTTTTCCTTGCTGAAAAAACAGCAATGAAATAAGTGTTTTTGGTCGCAGCACTTTCTGTAAGCTTTTTTTATTTTAATGAAACTGCGCTCGGTGGTAAATGCAAACACCGATGTAATGAAAAAGCGACATGATCGTTGTGCTCTAATCAAACTAAAAAATAACAGAAGACAGGTGACGGCGGAATGTTGGTTCCAACCAAAGTTAGCTTTAAATTTTTTAAGATCTACACTGGTGGCCCGATAATTGGAAACGAATTTATTTTACAAGTTTTGGAAATCTATTTTTATTTATTTGCATTAATTTTTTTTTTTAAGAAAATATAAAAGCATATAACTCAAAGTTTTAAACCTTGTACAAGATTTATAATAAATCGGCGAAGTTAAAAAATGGTCATCAAAATCTCAAACTTTCAACTGGAAGTTCTAGAAAAAGTTCGATGTTACGGATTTATAGCCCATTCAATTTTAAGATTGTGATTGGCTTCAAAATCTCGTTGGATTTGGAGAATTTTTTCACTATGTCAAGCGTTTTATTCCAGACTAAATTTTATTAACTTAAATTTAATTTAATTTTAAAACTTTGAGTTATATGATTTTATTCTATATACATATATATACAATTTATATAATTACAATTTAATAATTTACTAGTTTCATCATTTTGAAAAGTGTTTTTGCCTCAAGACATCGAGTTGTACGGCATTAACTGTCACTTTTAATTGGTTACTGCATTGGCTACTTTTATTAAGATTTTTGTATGCATTTAACGGTGAGTCCTTGAAGTATTATTTGTTAAAAATCTTTTTTACTAATTTCCCCATTTTAACATATTTTTATACCCGAGCGCACTTGTGCACAAGGGTATATTAATTTTGTTCACATAACGGTTATTTGTAACAGCCAAAACGAATCGAGCTAGATATAGACAAATGTATACATAAATGCTCAGAATGAATAGAAAAGTCGATTAAGCCATGTCTGTCTGTCCGTCTGTAATTATTAGTATATTTTCCATATAAAATAAATTAAAAGTAATAAATAAAAATAAAGTATCCAAACCTATAAAAAAAACTGGTTCTAGTTATCGGTTCACCAGTGTATAACAAATCTTGTCAATTAGGAACAGTGATTCATGAGTTTGTGCATGGCAGTGAGTTGCTTATACGGTGTTTCACGCGGCTATCACCCCTATTGTGAATGTCGACTAGTAGTAGATAAACGACAGTTAGTCGATTATCGATTACCCGTGGTATTTTCAGTCGTTTTCTTGTTCAATAAGTGTGTGTGAATAGTTTATAGTCGCTTATCCTTCTACAAACAAACAGTTGTAGAAGGATGAGCGATTAAAAACTATTAACAGTCGCTTTATGAACGAGAGATCGACATTCACAATACCATGAAAAAGCGATAATGGAGTATGAGTCGTTTATCTACTACTAGTCAATACTGGCAATAGGGGTGTGTTTTACAGGCAACTTTTAGTTGAAAGCAACATTCGCCTGGTGTGAACGGTCATTCTACTAATCGCTTCCAATGAAGTTGGGTCTTCGAGAATTTTTGATTCAAGTAATCGCCTCATGTGAACACCGTTGTATTTATGTAATTGCGTAAAGGTCTAGTTTCCGAACCATGCTTGCTCATAATTATGCGGGAAAATACCTATAATGTAAGCTATGCGGGTGATAGGAAGAAACTTCGCGTGGGATTCAGACAACTTTCTTTATATTGTTTTCACAGTCTCGAAAGCAATAAGTCGGCTTGACACAAATTGCATGCCATTTTCGCGAAATCGGTTGAGCCGGTAACACCATTTTGATTTTGACGTTTGACATTAGCAAGATGTTTACTGTTCGTCAGATTAATTGCTTGAGAATTTAGTTGAAGCACAATCTCGATTGGATAGTATTTAACAGAAAACAAATCTTTCATGTAAATCTGAAGAAAGAAATGTTTTTCACAGATATTTTAGAGTTCTTTTGCATTCCCTTCAGTGTATTTATTTCATTTTTGGTTATATTGTCCGCTGTAAATAAATCTGTCGGTGTCCGAAGAGCCTACGTAAAACTTTTGCTAAAGATATTTGAGGTAAGTTATGAATTGGTTAGATATTTGCAGTATTTATGATAAGAATAGATCAAGGTACAACTTAACATTTTCAATGATAGCTGTATCTGATAAAATAAGTGGACTTTTACCTCATTAAACTGATCTAGATATATTTCATGATTGTAAGCGATGATGAACTTGCAACGTTTTGTTTCCTTTTTGTATTAATTCATATATGTACATATATATAATATTTATTTTAGTTCGGCCGCCTGAGTATTGAATCTGCAGCGACAGAACGCCAAACGAAAGATGGTGAGACGTGTAATGTCTCAGTAGGAACTAAGGCTAATGACATTAATAGACCTTGCTCTAAACAAACTGGAACTAGTATACCCACTACAAATGGCAACACATTAATTAGCAGGGACAGTGTACTTCTCCCAACAACCAACGAGTCTTCGGCTACGGATCGGGATGACTCTTCTAAAGATGTAAGTACAATTATAATATGTTTTTGCATGAATATATATAGACATATGGATACGTAGTACTTGTCTGGAAGAAATTAGCCTTGGAACGATTTCAAAAGAAGTAAAATAGATTTTTTAATTTGTCTCCGGGACTGAAGTCAAGTTGGTGGAAATACGCATACAGAACATTTTTTGAGTTGCTTTTGTTTAAACTGCCACGATTATAAGATGGAATAGAGTTCCAGATGCGGATAGTATTGACAAAGAATAGCCGTGCAGAGCTGAGATAATTATATATAGGAACAGTCAAGTCGTTTACTCGAGGTGATTTGGGGGACGTTAGTTCTCAAACAGATATTTGGGCGCCTTATTCGTAATGAGACGAAAAAGGAATATACAATTTCTAGCTTTAAGGTATTCAGAAATTTCGCAGCAAAGTAGGCGCGTTCTCCAAGCAGAAATATGCTCATATTTTGCTAGCCCAAACACAAATCGCGTGATCTGATTAAATACTACATCTATTTCGTGAGCTGATTGGGAATCTATCCCGCTGTAGAGTACATCAGAATAACAGATAACTGGCATTATGTAAAATGTATTTTACTTACATATGTACATGTGCGTGTACATACATCCCAACAAGCAAAATAAACATAAAGTAGGTTTTTAAAGGTATACTAACGCTTACAAAACGCATATTTTTTGGTTTGGGTTTGTTTTTTCTTTGATTTGTTTATAAAAAAATCGCTCTCAACGCTTATAAAAGGTTCATTTGCAAAATCTGAATACTAAAAACGCCTATTTAATATTTAACATAGAAGGTTCCTTTAACTTACTTTTAAAAACACTTACATAAATGCGTATTGGGATGTGACAATAAGTAAATTTTATATTCATAGGTATATTGCCAGCTTAGAGTGAAAAGAAGCTACTTGCTTAATAACAGACTTAAAACAGGAGGTTATCTATTCATCTGAATGTCTTTTTCTTTTGTTATGTACATATGTACCGGACAACTTTGAATTACCTGAACCGTTTTCGATTTTTAAGGCGGTTCCTCAAGAATAGTCCCAGAGCAATTTGGTTTAGTTCCGATCGTTGGATCATGACGAAATTAATGTTAGTTTTTATAGTGCATTTTATTTTGTAAATTAATTGTTTCTAACCATTTCTATTAAATGCTAATCAAATTTGCTACGTCCAAAATAGTAACAGAAAATTTGAGCACTGTCAAATTTTGTATAAGTTTTTTTGCAAATAAGTGCTTTAAAAAACAGTTTGAAAGCTGTTTATTTGAAAAAAACTGGACTTTTAAGTCAACGGTACGAATGTATTCCAACCCATGATACAAAAAAGAAGGTAGTTTCAATAAACAACTTTTGACGGATAAAAAAATTTTTTTAAAGTTTCATAAATTGTCAGTATTATCAACGGC